TGCCGTACGAGATGACGGTGGAGAATGCTCTGAAAGTGCTGGGCGTGTCGGAGGGCGCGTCCTTCGATGATATTCTCCGAGCTAAGAATTCAACCATCGCCGCTTGTAAAGATGACCAGCAAGCGATTTCTCGGGTCCATCCTTTTATTAATGACTTTTATTCATGTAATTGGGAATTTCATGATTTGTGGAGAGGATTGTTTGGAATATTGATGCTTATAGAACTGCCCTTTTTTTTTATGTTTCCCTTTTGGTAGATTGATGCAACTAAATGTTTAATTTGCGGTTCTATATTTTTATAAATTTTGTGATTTGATGAATTCGGCTGAAATCACATGCTTTTTTCTGATGATTTGATTGAAAATTTGTGATCTTTGAAGGTAAACAGCACATTTATCTCGTAATACAGCTTTGGATTACTCCTTTGAACATATTTACTCTGCTTATTGGCATGGCCAATCAAAAGCTTTAATCTTTCCTTATATATATTCATGATGCCTCTTGTTCAGCAGCTACTTGTTTATCAATTGTTTTGTAGAACTAACAAGTAACATATAGTATGTTCGAATCAAGATGGCACTTATCACCCTATTAGTTGTTGTTTTATGCTTTCATTTTCCTTGGTAAAAATTATGTCTACCCAAGAAATTGCTATAGTGCTTGGAAGAGTTATATATAAGTCTAAGCTAAGTGTCATGAGATGTATCGAATGTTTTTTTTGAGTTGTCCCGTCTGTGTTTTCTCGATTTTTCTTCTTTTTCTATTTATCTTCTCTTATTCTTTTTTTCCCATACTTCCTCTCGAGCATGGCTTTTTTTCCTTTGCAGGTAGAAGCTGCATATGATATGCTCTTAATGCAGAGCTTATCCCAACGTAGGTCAGGGAAAGTTGTGAATAGTAGCATACGTTATGCTGATGTTAAACCTGTAAATCCTCCAAAAATTGGAACAATGCCCAAATGGCTCAAGAACTCGCCTGTCTTAGTTGAGACACCATCCACTAGCGAGATAGGAGTGCATGCTGGGGTTTATGGTGCTCTAATGGTGCTAACGTATGTAAATGGAGCTTCATCGTCTTCTGCAGTATCTTATACTGGAGCTGATGTACCTGGGCTCATTTTAGCCACTGGCTTTGGGGCATCTTTATACTTGATGACCAAGAAAAACGTCAATTTAGGTAAGAAATTGAGCATTTTCCCTTCTTTAGCTTAGGACATTTGGTACAGTAGTCTTGGATATATTATGACTTTTCGATACGTATTTTGAACTTTATTTAGGAAAATTCCTGCAAATTTTGCTTGAAAGAGATTGTCTTAAAAGTGAAGACTTGGCTGCCCTTGCCTGAAGTATAAACATGGATGGTATTCATTGGGCTTAATACATGCTCGTGCTGAACTATCGTGTTTAAATTTGTACCTAGGATTTGGAAGGTGAATAATATATGTAAATGAAGAATAATTTGATAAAATTTGCAAAAGAATAACAACAATACAATCACATTGTTTCCATTTACTTGCCAAGAAAATACAAACCTCGAAGGTTCACGAGATCTTGAGTTATCGCATTTTGTAGTTTCTACGGTTCGCCAAAAAAAAAAA